AAAATCCGAGTCCTAATCATGATGGTATAGATTTCGAAGGTATTTTGGTTTTAATGATTTAAAAATTTTAGTAATTAATATTAATTGTTTTTGGACATCTCGATGCAAGCGATTTCGGTAAACATTTTTCGGCGGACGGATACCCAAGGGTATTGGTGAACGGGTAAAAACATTATTTTTTTTTGAAGTTTTACCTAAATAAATGATTGTTTTGAGTTTTCCAAATGATAATTTGTTCTAAATTAATTTTAAAGTTAGTCACTGTAACAGTAATTTTTGAACACTTTGTAATTTATAAAAACGTAAAAGATGCAAACATTGATAAATAAGTACAGAGAAATTATCTAATTATTATTCGTTTATGGATCAATGCGTGGTCACATTTCCTATTTGGTTTCTTTTTTGTAATTATTATTATTATTAATTACTTATTAGTTTAACAAATCTCTACACCATTTTCGTTATATGAATCTAGGAAGAATGTAGGGAAAATTGCGTTGATTGATATGTCGTGGATTTTGGATGGGTAAGTGAAAAATTTGAAATTTCTCTCTTATTGACATCTTTGAATTCTCCTTTGACAGTTTTTAGATGCATATCAATGTAAAGATGTTATTTTTCCTCGGTTGATATTATTTTGAAATTACTGTATTTTTTCATACTTGATGTTTTACCATTTTTCTATAATTGGAGGCCATAGACCCAGATTGATTTTAGAAGGTACACGAGTAGTTTTAAGTAGTATAAGTAAATTTAATTCGGCGTGTTCATTATTTAATGAGTAGTTTTTTAAGCTTGCATGTAGGTTATCAGACATTAGTGAAATAATTTATGATGTATCATAGCATCCTTTGTACACTGCATATCATTAAAACGATTATAATAAATTTACGAATTTTAGTACTTAGGCCAACATTACGTTTACAATAATAATTGTTTATGATGTGAAAATTATTTTAATCCATTTGTTTTTTACACATGTCCGATAGATACAAACCTAATAAATGTGTATATGTAGATTAAAGGTGATGCATATTTTAGTTCTGGCCAAATGTTCATAAAATACATTGTATTATAATCTAATATTATGTAAGTAATAAATACAAAATCTTATACAGGATGATGTTTTCAATTGTTGACCTGCAGGGTACACCACACGCGGCTTGGACGATATTCATAATATTTTTTTTTTTTTAAGAATTTATTTCATTTTTCTCCCAGTATTGATTATTTTGGTTTCAAGATGGCAATCCTACTGGATTTAAGTTTTAAATTATCGACAAGGATGTTTGTCTGGACTCAGGTTACAGAACTATAGCTTATGGTTTGTAGTTTTCAATGTTTTCAATTATTTCCAGTTGAAATTGGAGTAATAGAGAAAGAATAATATTACAGCTATAATCTGAAAATGTAAGAAATGTAACTTTTTAACCAAGTACCACAATAATTATTATTGTGAAATTGTATTTTTAAATTTGTGCGTAAGCGCAAAACTATTTTTAGATTAACTATTTAATAATAATATGTCTGGGAAGTTAAAACTGAATGTAAATAAAAATGTCCATAGAATAATGAAAATATTATACTCAAGTACCTACACAATGAACATTTGTTCTACTAACAAAAAGATCACCTTGTATACCACTATATAACTGACAGATAGCAACTGTAGTAGGTACCTACATTTTTCACCGCATAAGATAATTTAAAGTACAAGTATAATAAATCAAAAAACAATTAATTTATGAGTGTATTATGGTAATTTTAAATCTGAAAATAATAACATGATTTAATTATTTGGTCTGTGTATTTACTTACGAATTCGTCTAAACAATCATATTGCATTTTTAAATAAAAATTAGCATTTTACTTATTTTATATTAATGCGTTTTATATTATTAAAGTATGAAATAATTAAAACAATATTTTTGTTTGGTTTTTAATTTGATCATTAAATATTTAACTGGATTGCAACTTTATGTACTGCATATTATGATGAGTTATTTAATTAACATTCTAAAATACGGCCAGGTTACACTTATTTTATTGCAGTTTAGAGTTTGTATAGGTACTTAAATCAAAAAATTAATTATTTTTATCTCGACTACACTGAAATGGAACAACTGTAAAATATTACTATTTACTATCGTCCATTACAATCAATAACATATATATATCAGTGTACCAGCTGGTACCTAGTGTAAGCAGCCATAGTGCCATACATAATAATATAATTTACTGATATTATGACTTTCCAGTGGCCAGGTACAACCGTGTAAAAAATCTAATAAATTCCAACTCACGGGATAAAATATGGTTTTTGATTAAGTAAGTATAATACAGAATTTGGAAAAATAGATCAATTTAATATTAGCATTGGAATTGGTAATCGATTCTGTATCAATATCAGTAATTTTAATTTTAATAATGTTAACACTTACAAAAAATAGAATTTCTTTTATTATTTCAATAGAGTACAATGTATTTATTAATAACTAAGCAACTATATTTTAAAGTTCTATTAGGATTATATTTTTCAATTGTATTAATATACAAGGTAATTTTTGAAGCATGTTCATCACCCCAATTTTTTGCTTTAATAGCTTAATAGTAGATTTGTTCAAATTCTGGTTTTTAGAATTTTTAATTATACCTAAAGACTATATTTTCAAATTTTTAATATTTCTGAGGCCTATACAAACTTCTATTTTTCAAATAATACCCCACCCCTTTTTGCATCAAATTATTTAACGGATGATATTCTTTAAAATTTGGATGTATCTAAATCAAAATTCTAATTAGTTCATTATAAGTAGTTTTTGAGTTATTAAAATGTTTATACTAAGGATAATAATCCTTAAAAATGGTTTTACAAAACTGTAACTCAAATGAAATATTAGATGTGGTATTTACTTGAACCATTTTTATAAATAAACTATTTATATTGAGAGATCAATAGCAGTTATCAATATTTTTAAATTATCTAATTATACAGCTACTTAACCCATTACCATAGACATATTATTCTTAGGCCCAAAACCCCCACAAAGGAGTGCTGTTGGATCTTTTAAAATTTAGAATTTTAAATGGTAACACTAATTTCATATTAAATAATATTCAACAAGACCCGCAAAAACATTTAATATAGGACCCAACATTTTATGGGGGGGGGGGGGGGGAGGAGGGCTTGCTTAGACCTTACTACACAAAGTCATACAACTCAAAAACAACTCCTTCAAATTTTGATTCAGATACATCAAAATTGTCAACAAAAAAATAACTGCAAAGTAATTAAAAACGAAAAAATAAGTTCCTAATTGAAAAACAGAGGTTTGTACTGTCACAGGATCATCCTTAAGTAGTACAATATATCTCAAGTATTATAAAATATGGTCTTCCAGTTTAAGCTTGTATAGATTTGTATATATTAAAAATCAGACTTTTAATGAATGCATGATTTAAGCATAAAATAGGACAAGCATGCTTAAAGAATCACCCTTTATATTGACAATGTTATGTTTTAGTTTTATTTATACATTTTATATCCTTACATCTTTACAAGTTTAGTTAATAACTGGAATATATTTAATTATAAAACTCTGTATCTCCTCCACAAACTTTGATTTTTTGAGACATAGTCATTTAAAATTCATAACGTTATACTTTGGAATTTATTTAAGTATATTTGTGAAATGAAATTAATTTTATTATTATTAAAAGAGCACCTCCTTAAAGTGCTTAGGCACCCTTAGGCAAACGTTTGATATGATTTCAAATTTTTGGGGATGCTGGGATTTTTCGTGAATAATTTTTTTATTGTGTCATCTGCATCATAATATTAGGTAATGGATTTAGGTTCGTAACGTTTTTTTAATTATGTTATAAATTATAGTTATTAATTTTATAGATTTTCCAATTTCAATTTTTAATGATTTGATATAATTTTTTTTTACTATTTTTATAATACGGTATAATGTACTTACATATTTTGAGATCATATTGCATCTGTTACAATCATTTATTTTTTTCAGGTAAAATGTACATTCATCAGTGTAAGCTTCGTTTAAATTTAAATTTCAGTTAGGTAAAACATAAAATCTATTTCACATTTTCACGAAGAATCCAATTTTTTATTATTTTGTAAATATTAAGGTTAAGTTATACCTAATGTCCTACTTATGAAAATCAAAACTTAAGTAATTAAAACTTTAATCCTTTTAGAATAACCCGAGATATTTATTTTATTGATATATGCATGGTTAAATATAATAATTTAACCATGTTTTTTTCAATGTAAGTTACGAACAATATAGGTACAGGTATACTAAAATATTTTTTTGTTATTTTTGAATGCGAATGTAGTTTTAAGACTGAAATAAACGTTCAACCATTATTTTCACCCTTCAAATGACTATATAATGCCCGCGGGTTGTACCCTTAGTAAATCTCGAAGGAAGTAGATTTTTTAGTTTTTTTTTTTTTTGGTCACCCTCTTTCTTTATTTAAGAGCTACCATAAGTTTCCATTGTCCTGCAGAAAAAAACTTATTTTTCCTCGAAGCAAAGACGGAAACGAAACCCTTGTCCCTCGTTAAGTTTGAGTAGCGAAGTGGAAAAATTATTTTGACAGTCGAGGCGCGCTCTAAATACATTTCCCCCCTCAACACAAGCTTTATTATAATAGAGATACAAAACAAAAACTTTCGTTTTGAAAACGCACACAAACGAATACACAAGAGGAAATAATAAAACTTAACAGTGAAAGTTTAACTTTATTTTATTAGTTTATATGTATATATATATAGAAAAAAAACAATTATAAACATTAAAATGAAAAAAAAAATAGCCATCACATACATTTATATAAAACAATAGGTATAGTTGTAAGATTTAAGGTTATATCGGAAAATTTTGATTTCGAACCAACAAATATTGGTCATATCATAATAATATAATGTAGACATAATAATAACACTGTGCATCGTTTTAGGGTCGCTAACATTTTTTTTTTTTTTTAATAAACTTCCAAGCGGAGTGACACGATTATATGAACAGTGAACACCCTACCATACAGGAAAAGGTGAAGAAAAAAAAAAATAATAATCAAAACACTCACTATATATTATGTAATATACCTATATACTATAATATACGATCCAAGCCCTCTCAACGCTATAGTACCGCTACACATTATTATTCTTAAACAATATAATAATTACGATGGAGATGACGATAAAAATGATAACAATAATACTATAATAATATAAAATATAATATTGTTATTATTAAGACTATTACCGTTGTATATATATATATATATATCCAAAAAATATTATTATACAGTCGCGATATAAGCTAGACTAGACGACTGTGTGTGAACAGAGCATATAATATATACGTTACGGTTCGTTTACAAAAGTAGTTATCTATAATAATCGTATTAATATATATATATATAAACATGCATATACCTATAACCTTTAGGGGTTCTAAGGTTTGTCACGAGGCGCACGCGCGTTGTTCACATAACATTATATTATGTTTTAATAATATTAATATCGTAGCATTGCAGGTCCGACGAGAAAAAAGTATTAAAATAAAATAGTTTATCATTATTATTATTATTATTATTATAATCAACAGAGAAGTAAAAACAATTAATATAGAAATTGTATAAATAATAATTATAATATTAACACGGAAACATAATAATATAATAATAATATATATATATATATATTAATTCGAAGATATAATACGCGTATAGTCAACGATGCGGGGTCACCTTCAGGTCACGATCACGGTGATCGGGGACTGGTCGATCTCGGTCAGGTTAGATATTTTTATGTCGTTTGTCACGGGAATGCACTTGGCGGTGCCGCTGACTTCCGCGTTGTGGTTCAACTCCATCGCCTTAGTTATGATTTTCGTGTTGTCGTCGCACAGCACCGGGTTTCCTGTCCACGTGGATTTCATTGATATTATAGTGGGTGGGTACAACAACGTTATTATTATTTAGCAACTGAGCAGGCGATCCCGTCCGAAAACGCCGATCACCTCGAAAACGATTCCAAGACGATTTTTTAAGTACATTGTCATTGCGACGAAACGTTATACTAAAACTTTTTCGTATTCTCGTTTTACCTGCTAGCTTGTTACTATTTTTTTTTTTTTTTCAAGTTTCAATTTTTCAAGTTTTTAGGAATGGACTTTTTCGAGTGACGATATGCGCATACACGTCTTGAATTTAATATGCGCGTACAGAATATTTTATTGAAGACTTCGATGCATAAAATATGAATATTTCAAACAGACACATAACATCAGTATCAAGGGTATTTGAGATTTAGACGAGTGGGGTGGTGCTACTCCATTTCGTTCGTTCTAACTTCAAATCCTATTATGATTGACTACAGGCTGGATTATGTTAAACATCAAAAATATTTAAATCTATTATTATGTGCGACAATATTGTAATTTAGATATTTTTTAAAAAACTTATAATCGTTTTCGAGATAATGAGTGTGTTCGTCCGGTATAATCGGTTCACGACGCCGAGCTCGGTGTCAACAAACTCGGATTTCGATAACAATATTTACCACCCATAGCAAATCGCTACCATCTTACCTTCCAAGTATATTCTCAAAGTGCTTTTCACTCCGTGCAATTTGCATTGGGTCATTTCGACTAGCTCTTCCTGGATGGTCATTATGCTGTTAAACTCGAGGTCGGCGTGGCAAAGCACGGGATATCCTTGGAACTCTTTGGACAGTCCGGTTAAAACGTTATACGATGCTACTAGCGTCTCGAGGGCCGGCAGATGAATCTACGAGACGAAAATGAAAATCACGGTGAGCGAAATGTGCAGGAAAATTGAGATTGGGATTAAATATAGGTATTATTATCGTTAATACGCGGTTTATACGACGTCCGTCCGTCAATTACCTGAGACGAATCTGGGAGTATGTGCAACAGATTGTGAGATACATCTAGAATTTTTAAATTTAATCCGGTCAGATCGTACGGAGATATGTCGGTGAATTTGTTATGACTGATGTTCAGTTTGACAAGTGTCTTGATGCCTATCAACGATCCGCCGAGCGACTCCAACTCATTGTGGTCCAACTTCAAGTGTTCGATTCCAGTCACTGGTTCGCTTATAATCTTGAAAAAAGTATGAAAACCAAATATTAAATTAAAGTTTATTATAATTGTACTGCACATAAATGCATGGTCGCGCGTTAAATGTGTTATATAGGAACTAATGGCGCTATTCAATACATTTTATTACCTCAGAGTGGCCACTGAGTTTGGAAATCGTATTGTGCGACAAATCGACCAACTTGAGTTCCTTCAATCCCTTGATTTCGGCCAACGAGAATTCGGCGATTTTGTTGTACGACAAATTGATCTCGGATAGTTGAGTGAGTGGTAACAGCGATTTGTTCAAGTGTTTGATGCAGTTGTTGCTCAGTTCTAACACTTCGATCATCGATGCTTCTTCGAATTCATCGGACGCCAACTGCGAACGTTATAAAATAAATGACGATATATTGTATTTATCAAATGTTTGTGGGCCTACAGGATGTATTTTCTGCACAAGCGGAAGCCAGATACAATTATATTAAGAGGGAGGGCGCTAAAATTGTAAGATGCCTAAATTCGCCTTAATAACCTTTAAGGTACACTTCATAACACATCACATTAAAGGTTTTTTTTCGTATTGTTTTTTTTTTTTTTGTATAATAGATGATAGGAATATACTATATCTGTATTGAATAATCCTATATATCATGTAAATTTATGGTTTTTCCAAAGTATTTTTTTTAAATAATAGCTGCTAGCGCAGTGGTCGGCAACTGGCGGACCGCGGTCCATATTTGGACCGCGGAAGGCAAAACTTTAACGTGTATATTATTTCTTCTTATTATTCGTTCTACATGTTGAGTAAGACACACAAAATTGTCAGCGAAAATAGGAAGTTCATGAACGAGTGGACAGAACTATATTGTTTTGTATTGCCTGAAAGGGTTGGAGCCATCCCAGTCTGTTTAATTTAAAATTCAACTGTCGCTATTATTCAAAGTGGAAATTTAAAACGGCATTATTATTTTTAAACTGCTATTTTTAAAATATAAAGATTTGAAAAAGATTTTTTCACTGGACCACATTGATTTATTATTTTAATCTTTAGGACTCCAATAGAAATTACTTTCCGACCCCTGTGCGAGCGGTTTGTTTTTTTTTTGGCCAAAAATTTAAAGATTTTTTAAGTAATTCATAAAATATTTAAAGTGTCTATGGCCAATTATAATCATAAAGGGAAAAAAGGAACAATATTTTTCCAATCATCTGTTTAGTGGATATGAACTTTCGTCCCCCTCCCCTCGTGATTTCTGCCAATGGTTTTCAGTAAACTACACACGCATACCTCTTGTATCTTGTTGCCGGTGAGCTCAAGCCAAACCAATTTTTTCGACTTGGACAGCGTTTTGTTCAGACCGGTCAACTGATTAAATGCGCAGTAAAAATACCTCAGTGCCTTGAGGCAGTTGAGTTCTGGTGGTAAATGAGTTATGCTGTTCTTGGACACGTCCAAGACTATGAGTCTGTCGTTGTCGATTGGCAATTCTCCGTCGAGATTTTTTATCCGGTTGTTGGACAGGTACAGCCATTCTAGTTCTTTTTGGTTTCTAACGACATATATAAATAGATTATATCGTAGTGCACAATTGAGTTAAAAAAGAAATAATCAAAAATACATAGTATGATGTGCACGTAAGCTCGAAACTTTTGAATATTTTATAAGTGATTATTATTTTCATTGGAATTTAATATTTATAATATATATATATATAGTACCTATTCGTTGTGCATGAAAGGTGTTCACGAATATAACAGTAACAACTAACAAAATACGATTTTCAATTAATTGTTTTATCATACATAATACTATAGAATGTGGGTTTTACGTGTGTTATTCATAACACGTATTACCATACTATACAATATTATAATATTCAATTATAACAAACGGACTTTGCCCTTGGTACGAATGAAGAATATTATTATTGATGCGATAGAGGAACAAAACAAGCTGCGCCACACGCTAGTTACATTATAATATATTATAACAATATATGTAACTTTCGAGAGCTCACGGCCCAATCGAACTTTTACTGAAGCAACGTCGTAGTTACCTCAAATTTCCATTTAATTCCGTCAGGTTGTTGGCGGCCAATTGGACTTTTCTCAACGTCGTAGGGAACGATCCGTTTGTTATATCGGTCAGATTGTTCGTGGCCATCACGAACGTGTTCATCAACGATAGACTCTAGAAATTAATCAAAACAACCGATCACATCAAAATATCCAATAGATATACAATAATAATACGTATGTGATTTGTATTTAATAAGTTGATCTCATTTTCAATTCCGATCTTTTGAAGAAAAAAAGTATTTATAATACATTTTAGATTTTGAGCGGAGCTATGACGTACCTTATGTTATAGATATTTTATTTTTTTCTGATTTATGTGTGATAACATTTCGGTTTTTGAATATAATTATGCTTAAACATTTGTATACAATAATAATAATTGTTAACATCCCATTAATATAGAAAATACATGTCACAATTGTTTTGTTTTAGGTAGCGTTAGAAAACAAAACCTTTATAATTAGCAAATTAACATATAGAATAATTTTTCAAACATTAGTTTTGAGCATTTTTGAAATTTGAATTAAAAATAACTTTGAAAATTGTCTCGAAATGTTGACAAGTTGTGAACTTCAAACGCTTGTAAAAAATGTTGTTATATATTTTTATATTTTTATACATAATATAGTTATATGTATATAGTTATTAGAAGAACTTAAGTGGGATCTCATATTAAATTTTCAAGCTATAAAGTTGACCTAGCGTAAATTGTTTGAACAACATATATTATAGAAAAAAATTTTAAAAAAATTCAAAAATGTCGAATGTTTTAAAATAGATCTAAAATACCATATTTAATGCTAATATAAACATTTGGTGAAAATTCTACAATCATTTGTTTTTTAATTACGTATTAAAATAAGCGATTCGATTTTGTAGAAAACATATAAATTCCCGTTTTTCCTGTGTTAGTATGTTTCTCGATTTCAGAGTAAATATAGTACACGTCATAACACATACACGCGAATGTCATTGAGAATATAAATTACGCAAGATTGTTGATGATAGACGTTTCGAATAATTATTATTACGTTATTTGTTTTTTGTTTTTTTTCTATAATAGTGCAATATGGTACAATAACGAAAAATATGATTTCACATTCACGATGTTTTTATCGTTAGTCTGTCGACGGACGATTGCGTTTAATCGCCGCAGGGTGAAGGATTGCAGCTCGCGTCACTTCCTGTTCGATACACGCGCTCTCCTATACTATATAGATGAGCCGAACCCGCCCGGAAAACACGACCGTACATAAAATAATTTTTTTACAATAAAAAAAAATGTAATGTACCTCATAAGTAATAACATTATAATATCATAAACGACAACTAGACGAAAAATGTCTTTTTACGCGTAACCGCTTATACTTAGTGGTATACCTACTCGACAATACCGAGTCCCCACAATTTTATAGCTCAGCACTTATATCACTGAATACCACAAACAAATTTTTGAATTGTGTTTGAGGGACATGAGACCAAACAGCTGTCGGATCATTAATTCCTACAACTTACAAAGGTTGTAACCCATCGATTTTGCGCATGCTCAACATATTCGACTTTTCCGAGTACCCTATTTTCGTGGACACACGGTATATTATATAAACTTCATTATATACCTAGGTATTTTTGATAGTCTGGCGATGTAATAATAATAAAGTATTTGCGACGTACTTGGAAGTCTCCGGAGGCAACGCTGTGAATTGAGTTCCTAGCCAAGTCCAACACCTCGATACTGGGCATGTGCTTGAATATCTGGGTGGGCACCGCACATAGCCTGTTGTCCGACAAGTACAGGATCCGTATCCTGTTCATACCGATGAAAGCCTCATCCGGTAGCGTGCTACAAAGTGGAACAAAGTCACAAGTAATATTATAATAATTATTAGGTACATAATTTTACGATTACTTTAATAATATTATGATAAATGAAAAGTAATGGCTCCCATATGTGTCATCGCCAGCTGCGATGGCATAATATAGTATAAAGAGTCATCAATTTGTGGAAAGTTTGATGCAAAACGTGCCAGTGTCTTGAATTAATTAATTAATTTACTCTATATTGTCTCTTTATCGCTCACAGTCCAGACGACACTCGGTCTCTATAAGGGGACGAAATCTAAGATATTTAGGTACCAAACGTCACTTCCAAGACGAGAACGCTATAATACTCGGAGTGTCCGTGACCTCCCGTAAAACAAAATATACCGTTCTAAGTATCATAATTTGATTTTTTGTTTAGAAAATAAACCTCGGGAAAATATACCTATATATTAAACACGAGTATTCTAACTATTATACTGTCTATACTCTATAAAATTAAATGATAACAACATTATATACCCATACCTAACCTTTACATTTACGCAACTCTAGCGTCTATTTGGTTTGCCAGAGCAATATTTATCTCGATAAAAATTCAATCGAACATATTATTGTAATAATTATATAAAGTTACATGTCGTGTATGACCGCATTGAAGCAGTGCAGATGTTATTGTTTTTACGAAACAATAATAGATAGTGAATTATTCTGATCGTCATAGCGAATACCCTAACGCATCGTACATTAAATTTTACCCATATACACAGTAACATCATAATAAAATGATCATGAACTAAAAAATTCAACGTAGTAAACAGACAAACAGTCTATATTATATAATATTATGTAACAATAACAGTGCAACTCGCTCGACAATAATATTCGAACTGTGACGAAAACCAAAATATCTAATAAGATTTATATTCGTTCGAGTTTTACGACTGATCAATGATGAGGTTATTTCATGTGAATTGAATGATTTCTATTTATTTCATGATTTTAAGCCGCTGTGGTTATATCGAGTGCAAAAATCGGATCGATGGGTTTTCTACTCGACAAAAAGTTATGCGATCGTCTAAAACCATACATTCAAAACGTTTAAACCACTTTAATTAATCGCAGCTGTCTTTGGTTACAGACTCACGAAATTGAGTGTACAGGGAAAGGACCATATCATTCTCAAGAATAGATAAAATCGTGAAAAATCACGGGGCTTTTACCTACACGAACCACGTGCATTTCATGGTGGAAAAATAGAGAAGAGCCGCCTAACATCCAAACGTCTTCGAGGAAGTTTTACAGTATAGCTACGAAATATGATATACTAGCTACGTCGACTGAGGTCGAGTTCACGCACAATATATAATATTATAGAATATCAACTGAGATTCTGGAAATAAGACTAGAGAGGCTTGTGAAATAATAATATTAAATAAACAACAATCATAAAGAGTCCATAGCATCTATCACCGTAGAGGTGTTTGTCCCCGTTATTAATTATTGTTTCTCAAAAAATATTTTTGACATGGTTTTGGAAAATCATTATTACCATACGTATAAGCATTAATTATCGTTATAACTCATAGTGTTTTTTATTGACCTCAACTCTACATTTTTATTTTATGGACAAATAAAGGTATTAGGCTAATCTACCGATGAATACATTAAAAGTCAAACTACTGATCTCCATCTAGTATTCTGTTTAGTTACACAGGCTGAGCTCTAGCATTTATTCAATCACATTTTCAGATTACTCAAATCCTAATTTTCGTCATTCACATATAAACACGATCTATCTTTCTCTCGAAATGTAAAACCCTTATCTCGCGGTCTACCACCCGCGTCTTAGTATATTATATATTTTACACGATGTCGCGCTATTTTCGAAACGTTTTCGACGATAGTGGTTTTATCTTCGGCCTTTCCATTTAAAAAAAGTGTTATAATATATCAGACGATTTCGAAAAGAAATTTGAAAGGTTGAAAATATATACATTTAGATAGGTAATAAGATATTATAGGTATGATAAAACAAATATATAGTCTATAAAACGTCAACATTTGTATTACACTATTACCAAATTTTACAATAGAGCAGTTTTAAAATTTTTCAATATTTAAATCTTTATAACTATAATGTTTCAATTTTAAATTTTTTTATCTCAACTTATTTGAATATATACGATTATTGATCTACTAATATTGTTTGTGAATAAAATGGATTCATAAACAAGACAAAATTGTTAAGCATAATACAATTGTTAGTTTCTCATCAACTACTATTTACTTTATTATACCTATACGTATATCATAAAACGACGAAACGTTAATATAATAATTTTTAAAAAGTAGGAGCACAAAAATTGAAAATAGCTTTACGTACTTACGTAATATCCATTGCCAAAAGTCAAACACCGTTTTAGTCAAAAATGGCTATCTCAGAAATTGTCAAAAACGACACGATGTTTCAGTCTATACCATAGGAAAAAGCTAACACTCAACAACGCCGGAAATACGCTCATACAAGCCGTTTCTGGAGGATTCGACACGATGTCTCGTATTGTTAAGCTATTTCAGTCGAATTCTCCAGTCCGGATAACGAGCAGCAATAGCTGGGCGCATTCAGCCGAGGCCGGATTAAGATATTTTGCGCCTTGGGGCCAGTACTTTTCCAGTGATTGATTACCGTTCGGGATACGCGCAACGCTGTCATGCAGTACGATATTGCAAAACTGTTAATTTACCGCTAACAAAATATACCGATTACAGTATCATTCTAGTGCAAAAAAAAAAAAAAACAATTTTGGTTCATCCATGCGAAGATCCACGGAATGTCATAAAATATATATCATAATACGTATAATAGGTACTGCACAACCTCAAGCGATCGCGGACAAGTGCAGATCCTCCGGCGCCAACCCACCCACCCCCGCGCTCAATCCAATCCATTCTCGAGACCGAATGAGTGACACGCGCCACACAGTAACAACCTGCGGTACATACCTTATACCGTCTACCTTATACCCATACTGTATATACCGCGATAATAATATTGCGACACAAAGCCGAACCGACCTGAGATTGTTTTTGGTGAGCTTGAGGTCGACTATCGGGAAGCCCAGCTCGTTGAACCGCCTCGTGTCCAGGTCGTGGAGTTCCGAGTACTCGATGTTGAGCACGTAGTCGAACACGGCGTCGAACTTGTTCTGGAGCGCGCCGATGACGCTCTCGAACGACACCATCTTCTGGCAGATGACCATGATCTTGGGCCGGACCATGCCGGTGAAGTAGCTGCACGTGCACGGCGATATGCTCCGCCGCACCGAACAGTGGAGCGGCGTGTCCTCCAGTATGTACGAGCCGCAGACGCCGGTCATGGCGAACGTGGACACGGCCGTCACGAAGAACAGGCGCGACCAGTTCATGGCGGTGGCGGTGTGGCGCGCTCGCGGGTTCGTATCCGGTTCCGGTATGCCGCGGGTTCCGCCGCCGGGACGACGTCCGTTCTGTAGTGCGTCCCGCGTGGACAAGATATTATCACGCCAATCGCCGTCGGTCGTCTATGCGCGTGTCTTATTGGTCGCTCGTGGTGCGGCGGTTTGCGCTCTCGTCGTGGACGCGCAAGTGTGACGACTGCAGCAGGCGGACTGACGCTGCGGCGGCGGCTGCGATAATATTATTATTATTACACCGCTCCCTGCATCCCTGCAACACAACGACCGTGGCCGCGCGACTGTTAATAATAATAATAATAATAATAATAATAATAATAATAATAATAATATTTTAACGATGTTATAATATTGTTGTCGTGTATAGGCATGCGTGACGGCGGTGTGCGAGCGTGTACGCGGTCGGGTCCTGTGTGCTGCGCGGCGGTCGAGCGGAAATTTTTTTTTTTTCGATTTAAATTCGTTAAATTCGTATTGATCGATTTGACACTCGGCGGACGTCCGGTGAGGGGGGTGAGGGGTGGGGTCAAATAGCGTAGCACACCACGGTAATAATATTATATTGTTTTATATTGAATAGGTATTGCACACACGCGACGCGGGCGTCGCAACTCGCTCGTTACGCGCACGGCAACTGTACAACTACGGTATAGTGTATAATATAATATAATAATAATATAATCGACACAATCGTCGTGTCCGACGTAGCGCTCCTGTACTATAGTACACACTACCGTGTGTGTGCGTGTGTGTGTGTGTGTGTGTGCGTGTGTGCGTGTGTGCGTGTGTGCGAGCGAGCGCGAGGGGGGGGGATACGGTCGTCCCCTCCGCGATCAATTTGTTATTTTCCTTACGCACTTTTGGCACCAAAAATGGACATCATATATTTTTTTTTATTTTTTTTTTTGGGGGGGTCTCGCATAATAATTACAATAAGTAAAATCACATTAGTATATAAAATGTCGAAGAAGAGAAACAATTTTTTTCTCATTTGTAGGTTAGGTACCTAGGTAGGTACACTGTACACGGTCAAAAAACGAATTTAGTCACGCGTGTTTTTTTGAGATCGTTATCATAGGATTCCGTGGTATATAACCAAACCGAAAATGATATTTGATTGCCTATAATATATAGTATGACGTATATATAATGTTATAATATCGATAATATGTAATAATATATTTTAAACGATGCGTAGTAATTAATAAATAATAATTACACATGTAAGGTATTATATAGGTACATGATATTCATATAATATTTTATTGCGTATTATGACTTATGAGTATTGTGCAAATTAAGATGTTCGACAGACGACGATGGTCGCAAGTCCGACGCGATCAAACCACAACATTTTTTCGTTTATATTTCGAAAAATGTGTAGGTACAATTGCCATACTAATCTAATAATATTCTCATCCGACCTAACTATACCCACCGTGTACAATAATCACGCCATTGCTGCCTCGTCTAAACAATAGTGACATAAAAACGATGTCTTGTGCACAGGTGTCTTACATTAAAAAAGCTCTTGTGTATCTACTCTATAAGATGAATATATTTATTTCCGACAATGTTGAGCTTCTTCATTTTTCACCCGGTCTTAAAGTTTCTAATTTCTAAACAGACCTGTTGTATATAATATTAAAGCCCGTGGTCCCGATTTTTTACAGGAATTTTGTGCTCTGCAAGCTGTACACAAGCTATTATATAGTAAGGCACCGAGGCTATAGTAAGTCTATATACAGGTGGTACACAGCGGCTGATCCTCAACACATCATCGCAATTCGCAGCCATGTAATCGATGTTCAATTAATTAAAAGAATTGTTTTCAAATATTCATCACGAATTTTTATTACACTATAATATTACTCGTCGATCCGTGTTTTATACATTTATGTTCATTGTTTTACATGTGAGATAAAAATCGACCATGTACATAATTAATGTATGCCATTTTTCGTCGGAATGATTTAAATATTATTTTTTTTACCCCGTCAATAACACGCACAAGCGCGTTCGTCATAATGTTATTATTATTATTATTATTATTATTATTATTATTATCATTTTACGAAAATATTATTATCTTATATTTTTTTTCGCCGTTCCCGAGAAATTCAAGAAACTGTTATCGATTCATCAGCAACCAGACTGCTATATAATAATAATGATTATTATAAAAACAAAGTATAATGGTATCCGATTGCGTCGTTCTCTCGACCCAGACGTCAACGCGTTTTGATAAAGCACATAACGCTCAAATAAAATAATATATAGGTAGGTTTTGTAATTCTGTAGTTGTGCAGAATAATACAATAAAAACAAAAAACAAAATTACTTCGATTTTGGACAATAGATTCGATTGTATTATATAAAAAAAATGCGTGCCCTATGCCATGAAAATTGCCGATATGCACGGATAAACGATCTCTTATAATATCGTACAAAGTACACAGACAAAAATCGATAACAGCTTGCAAACGACTGGGTAATTTATATTACTATATTACAATATTGTACACAATCAGAACATTATATTGAGTAACTTCAATAAAAAATTTGAGTTACACATGGTTTGTTTCGATAAGAGTTACGTTCCTGAGTTCTTGACTACTAAGTATTTAAGTATAATATTACCTAATATCATATTAAAGAAAAAACCAAAATTGTAATATTAGATGTTTTTCATTTTTATATATTTTTTAATTTAAAAGAATGTTTACCATCTACACTAACAGTATAGCATAATAGGTAAATTATACGGATATAAAATGACAAAATGAAGCAGCAAGTAAAATATTAAATTTAGAATCGGAATTTATTAAATATTATACTTTTTGTGCTACGAAAAATGAGCATTGAGGAGCATAATATACTATGTGTTTAATAGAATCTGTAGATTTCATTATCTCAATGCCCAGTTCTTTGAGGTAAGTAATATTACTTTGTACACTTTTGATGATAAATGAGTTGTACAATATTATCGTTTATAGTTGTAGATGGTTTCGCTCGTGGATATTTTACACCAGAGATTTTAACGATCATTTAATTTATTGACGAGTAATAATAATTATTGCGTTACCGAAAAATACCATCGAACAATTTAAATAGTTCCGATATACACAATTAACCTAACCTCATGACGTTAATATTTTATTGACCCCAATTATATCACCAGTAACGCTCTACGCCAAAACACTACATGACTATTGCATATATGAGTATATATAATATTATACTCGTATAGTTGTATATGGTGCAAATACCGCCAATTTGCCATTACAGAATAAAATATAATATCATGATAATAAGTCTCGAGAACGACAATATCGACGAGGGTGTTGAGCTGTCGTTGAGGGCTACAACTGTCAATCATTCATTCGATGTTTTTTAATCATACATTTTCTAAAATGCATTTTAAATGCAACGAATGACCGGAGTATTTGTGAGGTCGAACCTTCGCCTTACCTCTAACCCTCATGCGACGTTATAACATATAGTATTAGCTAGTGTAAATAATAAATATTACAATGGAATCGGATTTAAGTTTTACTATTTTACTACGAAGATGGTATTTTTGTCATTGATAAATGGAAAATATATTAAGTTGTTCGATTCGTTTTGAAACAGATCCTCGTGGTATAATCGTGATAAAGTTATATAAATATTCTTATTTAGTACGTGTATTTGCATCTGTTATTAAATCATACAGTACCAAATAATGTGTTTAAGTCTAAAATGTCTTATATATTAAGAACTTTAAAATGTTTGTAATTGTATATAAAAATAATTAAAGAACCAAAAATTGTATCTAAGATTTTTACATTTATATTATGTATATCGATTATCTGAATTATAATGAAAACTCGTTATTTCGTAAAATACGAACTAGGTATTTAAATATTTTTAAAAATGTATTATGCACATTGAGCAGTTCTAATTCTAAATTGCATTAGTTTCAGTTTGTATATATTTGTTGATGAACCCTGCAACACAATACCGGCATTTAATTTTTAGATAGCCACCTATAATTTCTTAAAAATGTAAAAATGTTCTAAAAATGATTATGTTCAGGCTAAAATAACATCACCGAATGAATGGTATTTTTATTGGAAGGCATTTCAAGTCAAGATAATAATTGTTATAGACTGTAGACGACAACAAATTGCACTGCGTATTGTACAGGGTACGATAGCACACACTATGCGCAGCAATAAAAATGAAACAAAAAGTAGCAAAATAAAAAAGTGTGCATGACTTTTAATTCATACGCACGCAATATTAGGTCGATCATATTTAAAATATTGTGTGGAATTAGATGTGAAGGATCAAAATTTGTAAATTGTAGTCACTGCCGTAACCAGCATATGTTGCTTCACCCTATACCTGCTATATACTCTTATCTGAACGTCTAAACTTTAAACGTCTTTAAAAAATAACAAAAGAAATCAAAGATATTAAAGTTAAAAAAATTTTTGGGAAACGATAATGTTTCAGACTGCAGTGTGAGTTCACATCAGACGACAGACATTAGGTTGATAAAAATTGAACATTATGGTAAGTGTAAGCGGATTGCTGTTTGCTTATAAAATATATTATACTCGTCATGTTTTTTTGGCGTTTGCTGAGTTGATAAAAAATTTACTTGTCTAAACAATTAGTGTTTGCTGTTAAAATAATCACACTGTGTGTACAATTGATTATAATTTTACTATATTTCGTTGATATATCGTGGTAAAAGAAAGACAATATAAATTTATATTACACAGATTAGAACGAAAAAAATTTTTACACTCGCCTTGTTCGATGTATACGTTTCTTTTAGTTTATATATAGTTGCTGCGGTATATGTAGGTAGGGTATCTCTAACCTATCTACCGTGGATGTGGTCACGAAACGGAATAATAATGAGATGGCACTAGGTACCCGTAAGCCATGCGAGATGACCTTTTACTGGCTGCAGTATTGTGTACCAACCTATTATATTACATTATATATACCCGTATACGAACCACATCCGATGGTTTTAAATCGAAAATTATTTTAATCGTGTGGTTTAAAAAATTATTATAATGATAAGAATACTCGACGATTAATTTATAGATCTCAAACAACACATTTTACATAGGTAAAACATACATCCTTACAGCCGGCGCATCATCAACACGACTAATAGAGATAATAACAACATTATTAACGCGTGCAGCCTTTTAATATACCTATACATATTACATAGGTAGGTCGTAGGCATATTTATACCTACACAATATATATATGTATGTATACATACAGGGTAATTGTTGAGGCATGCTCACCCCCATTTTTCAATTTAATACTGTACCTACATATTTTCAAATTTCCGATATTTTTTGTACTTATTCTCGAGAAGTGTCGTGTGGCAATACAAACTTCTATTTTTCAGACAATAACCCTTCTTTTATACTGCAAATTATTTAGCTGGCGATTTCCTTGAAAATTTGGATGTATTTAAATCAAAATACTAACCAGTGGTTTCTGAGTTATTAAAATGTTTATATAGTTTATACAAAGGTGATAATATAATGATCATTGAAAATGGTTTTACAAAAATGTAAATTAAATGTAATATTAGATGTAGTATGTATTATACTTGGACCAGTTGGACCATTTAAAAAAA